TGAGTCCATTAAAAAATACTTTCAGTATTTTTTTATCCATTCTGTTAGAAAGTAAAAATGCAACTGGAAAACCCATGTTGTTCTCATCTTTAATTAGCACAATGGTTAAATCCCAATTTCTACGATTAGTGCCATGTGTCCCATCAATGCAAATATTTTTTTTAAATTCCCTTAGTTTTCTTTTCATTATCCCATTCATATATCCCAAGGCAAAATCTTCATCTTTCAATCCTGGAAAATTCATTCCTAAAAATGATATTTTTGTGAGAAACCCCATAATGCATTTAATAATCCAATTTCCTACCTATTTAATTAAATAAAAATGCATCATTCCTTCCCTGTTGATTCCATTCCTCAACTTTAAAAGATACAGCAGTCATATCATCAGCATGCCTTTTTTTATCAATTTTATATTTTCGGATTAAATATCACCCCTTGTAATTACATTAATCCTTTCCAAACTATGGTTACTAACCATTCTAGCATTTTGGATTATTCTTTGGCTTGTTACTCCTGCATTTAATTTTTCCACACAAAACATTTTGTTCACTTTTTGACAGTCGTTTAGTCCGTAGGTCATCCTCATGTCCCACATGTGTCTCAAAAAAAGTTACTGTAACATATCCTAAAAAAACATAGATTTGAATTTATTTTCTAATTATTACATATTGCTAAAATAGATTTAAATATTTACCACTGGTAGAAATTTTTGCAGTTATATTTGAAGGGCATATTCCATGAATCCTAATACTTCCTTTGGCTTTTAAACTACGTTGAGTAGCAGTACTACTAAATCCTAAACAAGAGATAATAAGTAATGTTAAATACTGCGAATAAGGCATACAACCTGCACAGTTACTTCTATTGCACTTGTAATACCAATGTTCTTCTCCATTTGGCCTTTTATTTTTCCTATGACAAGCATAATCAACTTCCCTTTTTTCTAGTGTTCTTCAGATTTCAAATTCTTTAATGTTATTAAAGTTCAAAGTAGAAACCTTAACAACAATGTCGTGAATATCTTTTAAATGCTTTACAAGCCTATGGCTTAAAAATGTTTCCCCTTCAGAGCATAGTGGGCATAAAATTCGAGGCGTTGTTTTACTCTCCACTGGCTTATTGTGGACTCGCTTTAGATGATCATTTTTGGAAGAGACCATCTCACAATGCTCACAAATTTTGGGATTTGTTTGCCTACATCGTAAACATTTAATTTTTAATTTAACTTATTTGTGTAAACTTACTTATTTAAATCCATTTTAAAGAATATAAATATATATTGAATATGCACAAATTTATAGTCTATAAAGCACAGAAAAACTCAAAAATCGAATAGAGTAACAATACGAGCCCTAACCACATAATGTTCGGACACTTCATAATTTATACAGAAATTTTTTTCGTGAATACTATCTCCAAATTATTAGAAGTTATGAAAAATTCAGCTTATTTTGGCATATACCCCTCGAAGCGATTTTTATTTTTAAAAAGTTTACCTTTTATTTTTAGCTTTTAAAAAAATTAACAATGTACATGTAAAATGGCAATTTAATTATTAAAAAAAAGTAGCAAATGCACAATCCAAATGTGGGATTGATGTAAACAGACAGTAGACATTTTTTTGCACATAATGGTTTTATATTTCAGATCTCCCGTACTATGCTTATTTTTAAAGGACAGTTGTTTAAAATTAACCAATACGCAATATAATATTGTAATTATAATAAGAAAAGTAATTGGCTCTTGTTTTTACATCTATGTTTTTGGAAATTTATAGCTAACCTTCTTAAAGTTTCTTACAGTTTATACTGTCAGCGCAAATGTACCCATATTTTTAATACAAGTACCTATAAAAGCTTCGACAGAATTTTAAATTTTAAATAAATCCCACAGAAGTGTCTTATATTTTTACCTAACAATTTCTTCTAAAATATTGTGGTAGTTTTTCTAATCCAGCTTAAAGTACACCTACAATAAGTTTTGTCGATACAAGTAGCTTCCACTGAATTCGTTTTACATCAAAAAATCTTTAAAACATTTAAAATTGTAATAAACCACATGTTATGAGAGAATTAAATATTTTCATATTGCATGTTTCTCTAAAAATTGTTTGTTTTATAATAATCTAATTTAACGTAGGTATGCATAAGTTTTGTCGTTAGAAGCTTTAATTTAATTAATAGTCAAACCATTTTTATTTAAAAAACCAAATAATCAAAAATATAACTTATTTGGCTCCATACACTTAACAATTTCATTAAATGCAGTATTTATATTTCTACATTCTTAAACCAACAATTGTTATTGTGATAATAAAAAAGATTTATTAATTTGTAGCTCTCAAACATAAGCGTTAAACAAATAAATATGATTTCTTTCGTTGACAGATACATTACCCGAAATACGTAGTCACGTGGTGGGACTTTGATGTTTGATGCATAGTGCAAAGTCCCACCACGTAACTTTAATTTTCTGCCAGTAGGTCCTTATTTAGAAAGTTTACCTTAATTATTTCTATCTTTTATAGATTTGGAAAAATTGAGGTAGATTTTTTTTTTAATTTTCTGGGTTCTGTAAATCATACAAAATTAAGGTAGTGCGCGTGTTCTGGGACACCCTGTATAATAATATATTATATTAATCCTGGCTGGGATTTCCGATGCAGGTTAAAATTTTTTTATGAATTTATTTAACCGCCATAATGTCAATTTGTCTGTTTTTAATTTTACTTATTTATTTTTACATAAATAGATTATCCATTATTTGATTTTATCCTGTTTCCTATATATTCTGTAGCAGGCTCAATATTTTTAATTAAAGAACTTGAAACTTTTATAAAACTTATATAGAAGTTCCAAACAATTTTTATTTTTTAAAGTTTTTAACCAAGAAAGTAAATCCAATTGACTGTTCTAGTAAGTTAAGTTCTGATAGTTTTTAAAACTTTTTATAATGAAAAGTTTACTTTGTACTTTAATAATCTTGTTTGTTAATTTAAACACCCTTTTTAATTTAAATAGGCTTTTGGTTTTTTAAAAGAAAAGCCTTCGTTTTCACAATTTAAAAATGCGTTTTAAATATACAATGTATACATACTGTAATAGGTGTGTTCAGAAAATAACGGGAATTGTTAAATTTCGCGGGTTCGGAGGGTCCGGTTGTCATAAAATTTTCTTTATTATGTTGGTATACATGCCCCCGAAGTATGATAAAAACTTTAGCTGTTTTCATTTTTTACTTTGTCTGTGGCAGCCGCTAAGGTTAGACGTGTTATGAGCTCGGCGATTTTTCGTTCGTTAAAAGAAATGGATCAAAGAATTCGTATCCAATTTTGCTTAAAAAATGAAACAAATTCTGTGAAATGTTAACAAAGGCCTATGTGAGTCTGCTATAAGTAAAACAAGAGTTTACAAGTGGTATAAGAGTTTCCAAGATGGCCGTGAAGACGTTGAAGATGACGAACGCCCTGAATGCACAAGCACATTAACAACCGATAAATACATGGAAAAAGTGGAAGAAATGGTTATAAACCATCAGAGAAGTCGCTGATGATGTTGGTATATCGATTGGCTCATCCCATGAAATTTTTTCGAATGTTTTGGGTATGAAAAGCGTGGCAGCAAAATTTGTTCTAAAATTGTTAAATTTTGAACACAATTTTTGGCCAAAAACAATATTGTAATGATGTCCCACCCTCCATATTCGCCGGACATGCCCCTGTCTGACTTTTTCCTATTCCCAATAATAAAGAGAACCTTAAAGGGCCGTCGTTGTGCAAGCATAGATAACATTAAAAGCGCATCGCTGAAAGAACTAAAGGCTATCCCAAAGATCGAGTTTTAAAAGTGTTTCGAGTATTGGAAGAAGAGCTGGCACATGTGCATAATATCCAATGGGGACTATTTTGAAAGCGACAACATTAATGTAGACGAATAAATAAATATTTGTTTCAAAAAACGAAAATTCCCGATATTTTCTGAACACACCTCGTATTAACCTTAAGGTAAAAACGTAATTTTTAAAATATCATAATTTTTAAGTTCAATTACATTTTGGAAAAAAAGTTCATCAAAAATTTATATTTGTATTTTTAATAATACATTTTGGTATTCCTGACAGTTGGATGGCTTACTGAAAATATATTTACTTATCAATTCATATCGCAATACAATATTGTGACTTAACCACAAATGGCGAGATTTCAGAAAGAGGGACCAATTTTCTTTTTACAATAATATATTATCTAGAAGATCCACATATTATTAAATGGTATATTATTATACGAGACATAATGCAGGCTATTATTCACGAAGAAGGTTTGCATCGCCAGAATAGAGATTTAAATCATTCCAGTGAATAATGCGCATACTTTTGAGTAATACTATACTTTAATAATGGTTAATCTCACTTTTTACCAATTTTAAATATTATTAACTACGAAACGTGGTTACGATGTTTACCACTGCCATCTAATGGAGAGTGATTAGTATCATCTAAATAACACTGGATATGCTTGCTTGGACTTTTTAGATTTCATTAGAGTCAATTTCCGTTTAATGATTTGATTAGATTCAAAGATACACCACTATCCGAAATTGGGCGCCCACTTTAAATTAGGCGACTTTCCTCTATCCTAAAAGTCTCTAAAACATATAAAATAAACATTTTTTCTACTAAATGAAAGAAAAATCTACCTATGTCAGGAAAATCATTCATGTATGTACGTTGCATTTTTTTACTGTTATAATAAAATATTTTATTATAACAGTAGAAAAAATGCAACGTATATACATGAATGATTTTCCTAACATATTTAGATTGCTCTTTCATGTTTGTACTCTCTCTTAGTTATAGGCATATATGCCAGGCATATTATGCCTACATCTTCTAGCCTCATTATCCTCTCGTTAATGACATTGGTCAGTTTTTTCGCAAATCCGCGAATCCTGACCACGCATGCGCCTCGCTAGAGGATAATATCAAGAGCGGAGGACTGCTAACATCAAACGCGCCGACAAGAAGTCGGGATACCTATCGCTAACACGCCGCGTTTAATGGCAAACCAGCAAAGTCGACGCTACCGGATAGAGCGAGCGCTCACAAAGTTGGCGGTGTGTTTAAATTGTTAACTTGTCGCAAGTTTCGAAACTTTTTTGTGTTAAAATACATTCTTGACAAAACTTAATATTTATTGGTTGATAAGGTAAACTTTGCAAGTTGGTTTGTTAAGTTTGTGGGATGTTTATCGAAGTTTATGTGAGTATATATATATATTTACTTTTTAATATTAAAACTATGTTCCTACCTATAAAACAAACTTATGTTATCGCGCAATAATTTTTTTTATAATTTTGTATTAAACTATCTCACTAAAATCTAACAAATTTATATTAGTAAAAATGGTATATTTTCTTAAACAAATATGTTTCTTATAAGGTTTTGAAATTTTAATTTTAATTTTGGCTTATTTCATTTTAAATCAATCAATGATGATTACAGACAAATTTTATTTATTTCTTTACCTTAGAGAGTTGAAATCACTTATTGATTATTTTTTTAGGTATTCAGTTTTTTATAACCACTCATTTTGTATTGGTGCGTCATGCAAAATAGGCTGACGCGTCAGCCTATTTTGCATTTTACAGATGTTTGCGTAAAACTGTTTTTTAAAGATATTTACTTCAAATAAAAACCTAGTTAAAGCGCATAAAATGCATAAAATTTTCTGTTCAGTATTTATAGGCTAACTTAATTATAAATAAACAAAAAGAATAGGTGAATGTTATCAAAATAAAAACTTAAAATTAAAAAAGGTAAAGATTAAAAAATAATTTTTTAATTTAAAATTCTATTAGTTTAAAAGTTTAGATTCAATTGTACCTACTTAAGAACATTTATAAATTTAATATATTTTCAGCAATTATGTTTTAAAAGACAAAATTTACTTGTATTAAACAATATTATTTACAATCAAATTTGCAAAAAAATTAACTATATACATATATTTATATAGATATATTTCTATTTTTTAATAAAAATAATTTCTCAAGTATAATTTATTGGTCAGAATTTTGTAAACCTTAAATAAATATTATATAAAATTATTTAGATTAAATTGGTAAATTTGTTGGTATTAAAAAATAGCATCAAAACATTTAAAATAAAAACACATATAAAAAGTAATTTTTTTTACTCAAAACAATTTAAAATCAAAAATATTTTAATATAAAATGCAACTGTAAAAGTAAAAATATTTATTTAAAAATAATTGTAGTTTCAATATTTTATTTTACATAATTATCGGTTTAAATTTGTAAGGTCATTTAAATGATAGTCGATATATATATATATATATATCGACTATCATTTAAATGACATATATGTACATTTTTAATACAAAAATGTTAACATAATATTTAAATGTTAGTTTTAAATTTCAAAGTAGTAATTTTTTGATTAAAAATTTATCGACTATCATTTTAATGACTACATATTTACAAATTTAAACCAAACATTTTTATTTTTAACAATTTTAAATTGATACATTTTTAACACAAAATTTATAACTTTACATTTAAAAATTAACATTTTTACATTTTTCGTACAGAGCCCATTACGGTGGAAAATTGCTTCTATATCGATTGTTACTCTCTAAAAATGAAACAGTGGATTTTCACTGATTGACAGTGCATATTAACTATTTGCCGCAGTGATAAGTATACCACTAGCAATTAGTGAATACTCACTTTTTCATGTAGCGATTTCTTCACTGTACAATAGGGTGATTCAAAAAAGCCTTTTTTTAAAAATGAACCCGCACTGGCCTAAATTATAAAGATTACATTAAAACTAAAATATTGATACCAAAAAATCCAAATTCGATGAATATTTAGAGGTCGCTCAAATCAATTTTCGTATTTTTGCACATTCGAGCCGCGAAATTTTTACTGCACAAAATAGTAAATAACTTCGTTAGTTTTTAATCGATATTATTAAAAATTTAAGGGTTACCTAGTTTTTTAATACCCTCTGAGACAATGTATTGAACTTTACAGAAAAATATTTTTTTTTCATGAAAAAAAATAATTTATTAATAAAAACGTATCATCTTATAAAATAAGCAACAATTGGAATCGCACTATGATGGTACCGTAAAAAAACTAAGAAAATAACACTTAAATTATTTAGTATACAGAAAACCTGCCGAAAGAAATATTTTATTTGATTTATATAAAATATAACCTAAAAATAATTAAGTAATTTAGATTTTTTCCATTTTCAAACGATTTTATAAATAATTTATATCCGTTTTATTAATTATGACGTATTTTTATAATATTTCTTTATTTTTGATACCATATTTAATTAATTACACTAGGTAGTTATTAAATTAGGTCCTTTTTACAACTAAAATAAAATAACGTTAACTACAAAATTATTCACTCCATTAAGCAAAAATTTAAATTTTATTAAAATTATTCACATACAACAATTCTCAAATTTTGATACCAAAATTATTTGATTCTGTCTAGAAGTTGCTAAATTGACATACCACAATAATAATTATTATTCTTAAATTTTGATAGTAGGACCTACTACCAGGTAGTTGATAAATTATATAAATATAAATATATATATATATATATATATACATTAGGGTGCTTCAAAAAAATTTTCGCTCTTACCCTCTCAAATGTTTTTATTTAATATAAAGAAAATCCTCACCAAATATGAGCGTTCCAGCTCAACTCTAAGAGGTCGATGTTTTTATTTTAGTTTCCCATTGAATTAACATGGGAAAAAATAATTTTATATTTGGAATTTTATACCTCTGTATCAAAGTAACTTATGGCAATGATTATTGTAGTTTCTTATATAAAATTTAACGCTCTACAAAAAGGGTCTCTTTATTTTTCGATAAATTGATTTCTTCTAGAGTTATTCGAGGTCAAAGTTTGATTAACATCAAATTTTCTGTTTTTTTTTTTAATTTTTTGGTAAAATTAGTAGACTTGAGGTGGAAGTTTGATTAACATGGGGCACCCCATTTTGCCCCCCCCCCCCCGCTGCCTTGTTTTGCCCCCTTTCACCTCCCGTCTGCTAATTATACCATAAAATTAAAAAAAAACAGAAAATTTATTTGTTAATCAAACTTTGACCTCGAATAACTCTAGAAAAAAACTAATTTATCGAAAAATAATAAGAGACATTTTTTGTAGAGCGTTTAATTTTATATAAGAAACTGCAATGATCATTGCCATAAGTTACTTTGATACAGAGGTATAAAATTCCAAACATAAATTAATTTTTTCCCATGTTAATTCAATGGGAAACTAAAATAAAAACAGCGACCTCTTAGAGTTGAGCTGGAACGCTCATATTTGGTGAGGATTTTCTTTATATTAAATAAAAACATTTGAGAGGGTAAGAGCGAAAATTTTTTTGAAGCACCCTAATGTATATATATATATATATTTATATTTATATAATTTATCAACTACCTGGTAGTAGGTCCTACTATCAAAATTTAAGAATAATAATTATTATTGTGGTATGTCAATTTAGCAACTTCTAGACAGAATCAAATAATTTTGGTATCAAAATTTGAGAATTGTTGTATGTGAATAATTTTAATAAAATTTAAATTTCTGCTTAATGGAGTGAATAATTTTGTAGTTAACGTTATTTTATTTTAGTTGTAAAAAGGACCTAATTTAATAACTACCTAGTGTAATTAATTAAATATGGTATCAAAAATAAAGAAATATTATAAAAATACGTCATAATTAATAAAACGGATATAAATTATTTATAAAATCGTTTGAAAATGGAAAAAATCTAAATTACTTAATTATTTTTAGGTTATATTTTATATAAATCAAATAAAATATTTCTTTCGGCAGGTTTTCTGTATACTAAATAATTTAAGTGTTATTTTCTTAGTTTTTTTACGGTACCATCATAGTGCGATTCCAATTGTTGCTTATTTTATAAGATGATACGTTTTTATTAACAAATTATTTTTTTTCATGAAAAAAAATATTTTTCTGTAAAGTTCAATACATTGTCTCAGAGGGTATTAAAAAACTAGGTAACCCTTAAATTTTTAATAATATCGATTAAAAACTAACGGAGTTATTTACTATTTTGTGCAGTAAAAATTTCGCGGCTCGAATGTGCAAAAATACGAAAATTGATTTGAGCGACCTCTAAATATTCATCGAATTTGGATTTTTTGGTATCAATATTTTAGTTTTAATGTAATCTTTATAATTTAGGCCAGTGCGGGTTCATTTTTAAAAAAAGGCTTTTTTTGAATTACCCTACTGTACAAATTAGTAAAATAGGTTTAGTTCAAAAAAGTTAAAATTTCACTATTTTATGTCGAGAGTTCCGGAAAAGTAGTGATAATAAAAAACACTAATTTGAAGAAGTTAAAATTTCACTAATTTATATTGAAAAACACTAATTTTACAGTGAATAATAATTCACTGACGGAAATAGTGAAAATTTCACTGTTTCACTTTTAGAGAGTAGTCTATTTTTAAGGGATACATTTTGATTTTCACAGAAAAATTTGAGATGTTAACGCTGGTAGATTTCCATGTAAGAAATTGTTACGGGAATTCCAATAAATACTGTCACTTTTTGTACCTTTAACATTTCCCGTGTAAGAATTTTTAATACTTTGTGATAATATTTTGCAGTATTAATAGTAAAAAAAAATCAAAGATTAAAATATTTTCTTAGCATAATTATATACTTAAGTTATTTTATTATTTTTAAGCTCGCTCGTGCGAAAAATCAATATTCGCTAATTTGGTGCAAGACTATCCTAAGTCCATTTTCAAAGAATTGGAGAAAAATACTATTAAACATTTCTATTTATTGTAATTAAATTGTTTTTTGCGTCATTCTTGTAAAACCTTCCAATTTTTAAAAGAATGACGCAAAAAAACAATTTAGTTACAATAAATATAAATGTTTAAAAGTGTTTCTCTCCAATTCCTTGAAAATGGACTTAGGATAGTCTTGCACCAAACCAGCGTATTTTTAAACATAAAGTTTTACAGTTGCATTTTATAATTAAAATAGTTTTAAACTATCAATTGTTATAGGTTTAAAAAAAATTTACTTTGTAAATTTCTGTTTAAACATCATTAAAGTGCTAAACTTAAATCTTCAAACTATTATTTAATAAATGTCAAAAATTTTCAGAAAAAAATATTTTCTCTTAATCTTGTTCAAAAATTAAA